TAACTTCATGCAAAGTCCAACTTTTACTATGCATTAGTTTGGTATATAAAAATAGTACGGACCCGGCACGGACACTGTTCGGTCACAAGACGGTGGAACGTGATCCATCGTTAATGAGGTCCAGTTTTAATCCATTGCTTAGTATTCGGTATAACGCCGTTTCAATTCCGGGGCCGTCTGCCTTGGTCCAAGTTTTTCTGTGGTTTCCTTGGATCACTTAGGCAAATGCTGAGGCAGTAATATTCCACAGATAATCTTTCATTCTCTTCTGTCTTCATTTCGTCCGTCTCATCTTTCTCACCCGAACCACCACCCACCCATTCCCACGATTCCTGAAAGCAGGCTGAAGAGGGCCTTCCGCCCTACCTTCCGGCGTAGTCCGGAGGGACTGCCCTCCCACCAGCATTACTGGCTGGTGGGAATGAAACACCCAAAAGTTTTGAAGTTTTTTTTTCTAGTTTTAGGAAAATGCGAAAATTAGCTCAGGATAGAAAAGAGTGGAGGTGTGTGTCCAACCAGTCTTAGGACTGACGACATTATGATGATGATGTGGTGTCGTGAAACACCCGCTAGGAACTAGGAACGCGAAGTTCCAAAAAGGATTTTATAGAATTGAGAAGCATTTTTTTATAAATAAACATGCATCTAGTTAGTATGTTGATTATCTTAGAAAGCAAATTAAGTGAAGCTTTTTCTTTTCAAAAAATAATTTAGCGATCATAAATTATTTATTCGGTCCCGCATGGGTGGGCGCGCTTATCGTTTTGAAATAAATTGAGTACCTTTATATTTAATGCAGGCTGTACTCGTGTTCTAATATAATAATCTTTTTACAAAACACTCGACGTTATCAACTCGGGGAAATGCGAATTTTAATTAGACAGACTTTTTGTAACTTAAAAAAGAACCAAAACAGAGCAGGTGTAGATACGTGACGTTAGCTTTAGATTACATTAATAACGTACTTGTCACAATCAGTTGGTACTTTCAATTCTTCCTAGGCGTTATTGAAAGCTGGCCTGGGAGGATTGTATGCAGTGACTACAAAGCTGTTGTATATTGTAAATTATATGTTGTATAGTTCGTTCACTTAGAGAAAGTACGGCGTGGACGATGCGCAAAAACGAATACAGTCGTGGGCGGGTCTCCGGAATATGGCCGGTCGTTTACAGTCAGATGTTTCCGATCAAAGCCCAATCGTAAGCCTTTGGCGGTCAGACAGTCCGCGCACATCGATCTGGCACCGTGTACCTTTCTCTAAGTGAACGGACTCTAACATCAAACGAATAAGTTATGAGCGTTTTAATTATTGCTCTTTTTGCCTGTCTTAACCCCCCTTTTTACATCTGATCCGCTACCCCCTCCCCCATGAAGACTGTAGAGACTGGAAATGTGCGAATTTCAAAAATTACTGTACCTGTACGTAACTGTTGTTTTTAATTGCTGTCAATTAAAAAAAAATTAAAATTGTATGACAATACGTATAGTATAATCTTTATAAACATAAAACATTTCTTCTTTTTATCGCCTTTCAGTGATAAACGTTATTTTTTGTTATCATTATAAATATCGTGTACTTGTTTTTATTGTTTTTTCGTGTCAATATTAAAAGTTACGGAGATTGTTCAGAAATTAATCCAATTTAAAATTGAAAATGAGAATATGTCAATTTGGGAATTCCATCTGGAACATTAGCATACAAATTCTCATTACATGGGGACATACGTTGCAAAAACAATTACGATTTAGTAAACAAAACAAAATACAAGTTGTGATGTAACGCTGTCTTTTTTCTCTTATTTTTCTAACAACACTCCGACTTGTTTCTAATCTAAACGATGAGATAGTTAATAAATTACATATTTAAATGTATGTACATACGATACATCAAAATAGACTCGGTATAATTTTTTAGAACTTTATGGTATCTACATGTATCTGCATGTTGACAGTGGGTTTTTATTGTCCAGGATGATGCGACTGGTTTTAAGGAAAATTGAATATTTTAACTCGGTTATCTTGGAATTTCTTTTTTACATTCGCAACATGTAAAGTACAATATCGTGTGTGCATTTAAAATAATCTTGAATGCGGGGAATAACAGACGTTGTCGACACGATACATTTTATGTTTATAATAGTTATGTACATACTTCGGTGATTACCTACTAAATAAAAACAAAAGTAGATAATAATGAAACTAGCATTTATGTTTTCTGATATAAATCAAAACGAAATGCTAAGAAAACCGTAGCCTGGCTTAATCGACCAAAAAGGATTTAAAAAAAGTTCTGTACCGACCAGGAATTAAGCCCGGGTCCATCGACGTTCCAGCCGAATATTCTAACCACTGAACCATTTGCAAGTCACGACAAAATTGTGAAAATTACTGCCCGCTGCAATGTTTTGTTCCTATAAATATTAAAAAATCGTAGCCGATTGTTTCGATGTTCACGAATTAATATAAGTACGATTGCCATAGATACAACGTGGTTGTTTTTATAAATGCCTATATTTACCAAGAAGCAGAAGATCGCGTTGATAACATTATTATCACAATCGTTTCATGGTCAACCGCTAATTTGGTGTTTTATTGTCTTTTGTCGATGGCTTTTTTTATCGCATTATATAAATAAATAAGTTTCGCACTTGATTGTATACAAATAACTGTAATAGGTGATACAGCCTAGTGATTAAAAGATAAACGACAAACAGGAACAATATACAACAGATAAGGGCCATAATAGGGTAACTTATTTAAACAGCGTGCACCCTGTATATGTATGCCTATGAAGTACCTATTTTTAGTAGTTTCTGATCATTTATTATCAAGTCCTTTGTAACAATTTAAACAACTAATTAAGTAACTACAATGAAAATTAATTTTTCCACTATTACGTCATTTTAATCGTTTTGTAGTGTAAAATAAGCAATAAAACCTACCGTTTATGTCGTAATACAGCATAAGAATATTATCGAATTTAATGCTTGTGCCGATTTTAATTTAATGCATCAAGATGCCATTATTAGAACGCCGATAAAAACGGTAAACAAAATAAAAAAAAAGAAAATAATTGTAAAACTTATTAACTTATTGTTTATGGATGTAAATAAAACATATTGAGACTTGTGCAGGAAGCACATAAATGTGACATAAACGCCTCGACTTTTAACGCTTTCCTTAACATTTATGACCTGTTTTATTTGTATTTAAATTTTATTAGGTTTGTTAAAATATATATATATATATAGTAAAAAGTAAGAAAATGTAATTCATCCTCACAAAAAATTTTTCGGATACAGACTTTTTGTAATGTGTGACAACGTGTCGATCATGGCTAACTGTAATCGTACTGTAGCTGAATAAAGTGCCGCGTTAGAAATACCTGAAGGTCGCTCTCATGCACTCCCACATAATACGCGGCCGTACAGAGTCGTATTGAGTGAAGGTTGTGTTTCGTTCTTGTTTGTGAAAGTAGTCCGTACTTTGAATAACATGTCGTGTGCTGTTGCCTAGTAGAAAGTAAAGCGATCAGTGACTGTTTTGTCTGGATGTCCTTCGCCAAACTTTCTATATACGTGTACATACATAAATCACTTTTAAGTCGATATCAAATGAATTTATTTCCATTTTTAGTAAATGCATAATGTGTCATCTGTTTTGTAAGATGAATGTCGTTAATCGTTTATAATTATGCAGTAATAGGATATAAAATATCAAATATAAGACGGTCGCGATGATTTGCTAATGTATCTTTTGAATCATGGCAATACGTTTCTATTGTAGATCTGATATTGCGAGTAGCGACTGCAGCTTAGTGATAGAATACTCGGCTGGTACACCCATAGCCCGGGTTCTGTTCGCAACCGTGGGCGATTTTTTTTTACTATTTTTTTTATTTGACAGATATTCTCAGGGGAAACAAGACTCCTTAAGTATTAAAATATAATCCAGTTTTTTTTTATTTATTCTTATTTGTTTACTGAGTTGCAGAAACATGTTTTTTTTTTAAACTTAGTGACTGTGGAACCATTACTGATATAAAATTCGATAATTATTCGTTCGAATGTATTATATTTCCACTTTTCTTCTCCTTAAGCTCCTAATGTAAGAGTATCCTTTCTTTGAAAGTTCAATTTCGATTGATTGCTTCTTCCCTTTTGTACGTTTTGTATGTAAAATTTCTTACGGATTCTCAAGGATCATCCTGGAGCTTTTTGCGCTCGTTTGCTGGACAAGTTCATACCGGATAGAATAAAAGATGCAAATTACCACAAGCCTTATTATTACTTTAAAAAAATTAATGAATTCCAGACCGAGATTATTTAATTGTTACTAAAAATTGTACAAAACCGTTTGTCCAGTTTTTATAATACACATAAGAAATAAAGACACCTTTTCTTGCAATAAAATCCATGAAGAAAACTTGTTACGTAATATTTGTCACAATAACGATATTATTAATTGATAATAGAGTTAATAAGAGAAGAAACTTCTGTTACGTCGAAAAAGAGTATCACAATCAGTCAGTAATGATCTATTTTGTGCTTAAATGCCAAGTACGAATAAGTGTGAAAGTTGTCTGAGCAGTAACCCATTTGTGAAATAATCCATTTGCGGAAGTTACGTTGCAAATAATAATAATAGTAATAAGTAATGTTGTGCTCTCTCAACCGCGATCTTTTATATTACTTCTGTGCATTGTTTTCTCTCGTTTTTGCTCCATTAATAAAAATATGTAATAAAAATCAGTCAAATCTAGAAACCGTTTTCATTTCCGATGTTCTTATGTTGCCTTACTGAAATATTTCCTGAATTTAGAATACCTAAGCGCATTAAAAAACTTGATTAATAAAATGTATGCATGTACAATTTATTCTAGATAAACTGTGATGGTATGTAGATCACCTAGCGGTTAAAAATGAACCTAAATAGCGTTTCGTTACGAAACGCTTTGCCTTGAGGTTGTTCAGTATCTTTTACGTTGCTTTCTTTTACAGGAAATACATAAGTAGTGGAACGCATCCGTCACATCAACAGCACCAGTTGGTAAGTCATTACAATTAAAAAAATTTAACTGTAGTTTCTTTTTTCTGTTAAAATGTACAGATTTACAAAAATATAAACTTACGCGGCGTTATTTGCTATTCAAAAAAGCGCGCGCATTCTGACGTCTCCCCCCACCTCAGCGGTTAGACCTACGCTACCCAGCGTAAGTAGAGTCTAACCCAGCGGCCTAGCGTATCCCTACCACAGCGGTCATCCCCCACTCCGCTGACGCTATCGAGTACCGATAGAGTCGACTCTGATGTTTCCCCCCACTTTCTCGTTCACTCCCATTTCAATACGCTACCGAGCGCAGTTGAAGTCAGCGCCGAGCGTAAATAGAGTCTCAACCGAACCTACGGAGAGTTTTTGACTATTTTCCACCATTACTTAATAACTATTTGATATATCGAAATAAAACAAACTCTAACTTATTCCTAGTGATAAACCACATCTATTGCAGTAGACTTCAACTACTGACAAGCATTAGAATTAATTCTAGAGAATAGATATAGAAAAATTAACATATGTAATGGTTTATTTTATTAACTGCAGAAGTTATTAATTCAATATCCATATCAACTATTTCAAAGTTACTATTACTTTGAAAATTTTGTCCTGCATTTTTTTAAGAATATCCGATGTAAGTTCATATAAATCGCGGTTCTTTGGCATAGCTATTGAGATTAATAACATCCGAGTTGTAAATTATTCAAGTCTTGTCAAAGATTACTTTATAAAGATCGTCACTGAATTGATAAAGTCGCTGCAAAATTCTAGGCAGCCAGCGCCAACACACTTTAATTAAAGCTGTTGATAATTTTAGTATTTTTTATACAAGATCAAAACAAATTTTTCCTTTACAAGAAGAGGCCTTTAATGTCGGTTAATTATATAGGGACGGGGTTGATTTTGTATAAGGGGTAGACTGACAAGAATACAAATTTCCGTTTTATTAATCTCAAATGGGAGTCAAAATCTAATAACTCTTCCCCCCTGTATCTTGGATATTTGCAGGTAAAAAATCTAAGAAGATAATTCATGTAAATAGAATTGTAGATATTGTAGGAAAACACAAATGATGTCACAGACTCAGATACTACAACATTTTTTTGCTTCTTAGAATTCACGTCTCATATTTGTTTTAATTATTATTCAAAATATCCCCTTATCAACACTTGTTATCATCTGTAAGAAATCAACATTTATAGACGACCAATGATTGTTTATCTGGAATTTTTACCAAGTTTGTACAGAAAGGTCAGTCGACCTAGCAATAATAATTATAAACATAAAAAAGTACTTGATCTGCATTTCCTGAAAACTGTTTCGTTTGGAATTTCCAGGATTTGTGGAATTAGAATTTAGAAATGTTTAATTCTACATGCATGTAATACGTACGATGGCGATGGTTAAAAATATATGATGGAAAAATGCAAAACATTATTTCTTACTACACGAGTAATTTCTTGTTACAAACGAAAATGTTTAAAGTATAAATTGTAAAACAATGGATCATATTTTTTGTTTAAGATTGCAAAGAAATTGATTGTTTCCAAATCATTTCCATCAGTGAAATAATTTTTGTTTTTCGTATATTTCTTTTATAGTTAACGTCAAAAGTATATAAAAATCTTTATGCTTGCAATAAATAGGTACTAAATTTTATTACCTATATATATATATATTACAAAAAAAAGAGTGCAGAATGACCGGATCCAAGGTTCGCGCGCGCGCGACTAGCGCGATTACGTATGCCAAATCAGAGATAAACTTAATAAAACTTCCACGACATCGGTTTGTAGACTAGAAAATTGTGTGGGAATATTTTAAATATCCATCATAAAAGCAACGCAATTACCATGGACTAGGTATACCTAGAGGGGGGGATTCCCTCTCGTTTATTTTGATTAACGTGGTGTACCCGCATCGGCACTTATGGCCGAACGATTAAGATACCTTCAATCAGAGCACCGTTACCAGTTTCTACCAGAAGAATCCCTAGAACTGCCTGGTGCAGGCTGGACCTATCTAGTGCCTAGTAGGCCTAGCAGGCTTGCTACCTGAGTGCCTATTCGTCAGATCTCATCGAGGTGCCTAGATTCTACTCCTCTCTTCCAAAATGCGAAGTGTAATCACAAGTATAACAAGTCCAGAAGACCAGACAGGCAGGAAGATTTATCACTTGGGGCCCCTGGGCCTCCCTCAGAATCAGGCTCAATCATTGGTCGGATTTTCCCTTCCAGTTGGATTATTTGTACCCTGGCACTGATAAGTTATCTCGATTTCATGAAATCGCCACCTTCACCTGACCCTTACTGAAACGTAATCGGACGGGCCACCCTGGCTTCTCTGACCACTTTCGCGAACCTCTATTACATACGTTTTACCAACGCATTGATCTTATCCCTTACTTAAATAGATCGGTTGCAGATGACCCAAGCTTTAGGGGTGAACGTGAAGATTTGGCTGTCGCATATCGCTAGCCCCTAATACTAGTACCAGGTACCGTATCGACCCCAACACTTGCTCGGTCCCCTTCATGTTCAATTGTCCACACGTTAAACCAGCATAACTGTACCAATATTTAATTGAGGACTCCCTTAAGGTCTCTCCTCTGACAGACGATTAGAAGAAGCGACCGTAGATCCTAAGGGTTAACGAGGCGAGTAAGTCCCAAGTTCGGGCTTATCCAAACCCCTAGACGTTCCTGCTGGATGCAAGTAATTAACCAAATGCTTCCTTGTGTTTGACACCAATTGGCAAAAAAGAAACTCCTGAGCATCCCCTTCCACCAAGGAATGTACCACTATCTCCGGACACCCTTCAGCCTGACTAATGCAAGCTACTATACCTTTCGTCTCTACTCTGCGTTCGCCCAAAAATGTGCAGCCCTCCCTAATGAGCAAGACTGCACACCAGATCCACGTTGGGCATAAATAGCACCACCCAGAGAGCCGCTGACTTCTTAGCCTGTCGAGGTTCCCATACGATTGTCACTGAAGATGTCGGTGGCCGCACAGGAAGAGCCTCCCTTTCGACGGGCAAGCTATGTCGAAGGGGGAAGGTTCGTCCCTCACATTACCCTGCCAGATCTGTGTGAATATAAGCCGGTGCTACTTTCATCTCAGGACTCCCAATGGCTTGCTACAGCACTTCATACAGATGCTTCCGGGTCTTTGCGCCCAGATAACCGGGGTCCTTTAGCTTCTCTATAACCTGCATATGGATACTGGGCTTCCTGACTATGACAAGATGAAGACCCTGGAAGCCCCACTCTGGACACTAGAGATGACTAGCAAGTGCAACTCATGAGACTCTGCTCTGCTTGCAGCTCACATCTCTAACTCAAACATACCTTAAACCTTGCGCTGCAGGAATCCATGTATTTTCGTGAAGTTTTTGCGAGAAAAAGGGCGCGTTCTTTTAGGTGGGTATTAAAAAGGCTCAAGTGGGATATTTTACAGTTAAAAAAAATTAAATAATATCTCTGACATTGTTTATGTCACCTACCAGAGAAAGAAATAATAATTTTTTCTGTTTATCAACGAGAAACCAACAAAAATTAATAATTCAAAACCATTACAACAAATGTCTGTTTTTCAAATACTAGACCGTTTATTATCAAAAATTACCCGGCTTCTTTATGTTGCATTAATTACATTTTAATACATACACAGAACGTCTGCAGACACCTATGCATTTACGATCCATTTTTAATTAAATAGAAAAGTGGCATAAGTTCAAGGTCGTTCACATTAACGCCATAAAATTAGTAATGACATTTCCAGTTTTAAATATTAAAACCGAACCGAAACATGAAGAAAATGAGTCCTATTTATGAATACTATTTATATTCCCATGGCTTTTGTATATTTTATAATGGTTAAATTAAAAAAAAAAAATATCAAGGACGCCCGGATTATAAGCAGAGATACATTAAAAGACCACTGCATACTAATTCTTCGTAAAGTTTGTACAAGAACATACCTAAATTCATTCTTAGAATAACCCGCAACTATTTATTCAGTTCTGTTTAAATAATATCGAATAAACAACACTGTCAAGGTCTCATCCTCATAGTTTTCAATCATTAACCAACATTATTGATTTCAAATATCGAACAAAAGGTTCTAGGTCGGTAATCAGAACTCTTTAGTTCTCATCAGCACAGAGTAACCTATTAAACAGCGTTTAATGAATAGTTACAAACAGCGCAATGAACGCCATCTGTAGACTACTTATTGTGGGATGCAAAAATGTTCAACAGGATCCTTTTCCAATAAGAATACCGACTTTTTAAACTGAACCTGTCGTAGTTTTCATAATAGGTACGTGCAGGGACGCCATTGTACACATGTACGGTAGCCATGACGAAATCCATCTTATGAGTAATAATACATACTATAATTAAATCGAAAATGAAATTAAAATTTACTTTTAATAGCTACAATTGTCAATCGATCATTATAATACGATTTGTGTCTAATAATAACCCTGTTTAGGAAAATGCAATTAAATAAGTAGTTACTAATATTAGAAATTCCTAAAAATAGAGATCGTATAGGTGTAGGTATATTATCATAATATTTTAAAAATATGGGTTAATTTAAAGCATTTTTCAAATAAAAAAAATTGTTTAATGTATTAATGGGCATGTAATAATATGTTTGTGTGTGATTTAACAACTTGCAGTCATTCTAGTTTCTAGTGCCATTTGACATGGAAGAATGTGGGTGGGGCTGTTAGTTAGTTGGTAATAGTTTGTTGTAGCCGTTTGTGTGTGCTTACTTGTAGGCATATACATATGTAGTCTGGTTGTGAAATTGATAACATATATGATAAAAAACATGTTGTGACCCTTAACTCAATCTTTTACAAATGTAATATGTATAAAATGTCTTTGATTAAGAAATGCCAGGTTTTAATAACACCTTTCATATTGAATGTTTTTCAATGTAAGTCAGTTCAGTATCGTGGCTCACCTTAAAATTGACCAGCCA